ACAAAACATAAAAAAAATCTTTTTGGAAAGTAACTTGGACCCAGGTGTCTCTCTCTTCATGGACTTCAATTATATTCATGCTCATCTTACATATCATTACTTATTTTATTTACCATTCTAAGCCTTCTATATTAACTTCTCCACATATTTCACCCTTCTTAATTCTATCTTAATTAATCATCTTAGTTTGAATCATTATATTTGTATCTTTTGTCCATTTTTTATCATCCCTTTGTCTCATTCCTTATAAAAAAGAAGAAAATAAGTTTCTCCTGAAATCATTAATCAGAGTATGATGCCTTTCTATCTCCCCCCTAAGTTAGTCAAATTAATCTTTAAAATAATATCCACTACCCAATCCGATTTTGCTTGGTACATTCTATCTAACTAATACATCCAAAATAATTAAGTACATAATTAGACAATAAATCCAAATATTAAAAAAAAATACTATAATAAAAATTTTATAATAACATCAATACCATAATCTTATTAAACTCTTTAATTAAAACAGTATTCTAAACCTCCCCTATTATTAAATTTTAAAGCCAATCATTTTTAAACATTTTAACATTTTAATCTCTTATCAACTCTTAAACCATTACAATACTACCATCTCATCTTATGTACCTTGCAAAATCTTTTTTTTTAAAAAAAGTATACTTTATCCATTATCCATAAAAAATTTCTTTTTTCCATTTAATTTCAAAACATTGTAGCTTTTCTCCACCTTTTCCCTTTCTTTCTTCTCCCAACAAACCTTTCTACCCCCCCTTCTTCTAACCTCTGCCTTACCGGCTTCCCTTCTCTGTCGTATTCCTTTTCCCTTTTGTTTACTATCATCATATTGGTTTTGCACCTTATTTTTCCCTTTCTTAAATGTTTTTTTAGATCTTAAGTCCTTTAGTTTTCTTCTTTTCTCTCTTCCTTCTTTCTTGATCAAATTCTGAGATTCATTAAAAATGGCTCCTTCCTTTCTTTCTTGTTCCTCTGCTGTCTTCATCTGTTGTAATGTTTGTTGATAGTTAGTAAGCGCCATTTCTAAAAAAAGGAAAGCTTCTTCCACACCATCTTTACCATTTTTTTTGCTTGTTCATATTCTTTTCTTAGTTCCTCAACAGAAAGAGCCATTATAAATCTTTTCTTTTCTTTTCCCTTTCTTTCTTCTTACAACAACCAGAATATTCAAAAGAAAATAAAAAAAATAAAACAGCCCCAAAGTTATCAGTCAGTCCAAACCAAGGCAGAGTTCTCACTTTCTCCTTCTGGGGTAATATCAATCAAAGAGAAAGAAAGTCCAAATCTGTTTAAAATCTTATTGCAATATCTTCTAGTCTTCAAATCCTTAAGGCATCTGCTCCAACAAAGTCTTAGCATACAAATATTTTCTTTTTAATCCTCTCTCTTCCCACTCATCGCTTAAAACCAATTTTCACCTAAAAAAAATAGGTTTCTTAATATCCAGTTATTTATTCCGTAGGAAAAGAGGGAAAGCTATCCTTTCAGCACCATCAAACAGCCGCTTTTTTCCTCTTCTGGCAGGTATTATTCAGAAAGTCATACTTTTCAGGAATTTTATTAAACATGTCTTAGAGTCCTAGGAGCCAAGAAAAACTTTCTCCTCTCAAGCACTTTCTCCACTTCCTCCTGCGCATTCTTACCCGGCTGCCAGCTTCTTTGTGGCGGCCATTACGGACCGCCGCTGCCCCGTCCTGGGAAAAGGGGGTTCTACCGGCCGGGGAGGGGGTCTGCAACACCCCCAAACCCCTCTCCGGATCCCCCCTACCTTCAGCTGCCCCTGCAGGGCAGCCTAGCTCCGTACCCATCTGGGTCGGAGCCCCAGAAACGGCTAGCGCGGCAGGGATCGCGCAGCTTCGCAAATCCCTGCCGCTCGCGAAGCCGACAAACCGGAAGTCGATAAAGCAATATTTTTATAGAATAAACAAATATGTTGTACAAGACAACCTCTGGATCATCCTTTCAGAGATATTTCTTTACCAGATTCCTCAAAGCTTTCGACAATGACAGAGCTTCTAATGTAGTTTCATTACTGGAAAAATTCTTAAAAATTTAGGGAGATATTCAGCAATACATCTGCCTTGAAACTGGCTTAAGTTGAATGTAGTCAGTCAAGTATCAGCAGTTAACCACAAGAAATATTTTATGACATTTTGTATTATGTCATAAAATGTTTTATAAAATTTGTAAATTTGCCAATTTTCAATTTCATGGCAGTCGTGGGTCCCAGACTTTGGATACATTCTTTAAAGTTAGTCCATTTCAGGTACCTTGTTTCAAAAACTGTTGTTCTACAATGCACTATTCAACCAGTTAAAGGTTAAAACACAAAGGTTTTAGTAATATATAGATAAACATTGCACAACTATCATGTTTAAAAAAACGGATTCAATTATATTTAATGGGGACTATAGCACTTTATTTCTGAGGATCATTGAGAATATGGAGGAAATGAAGAGCAAAGCTAAGATATACATTAAGAACTGTTATGTATGCAGACATTTCAATGTTCTGGTATAGAATAGAATAGAATAGAATAGAATAGAATAGAATAGAATAGAATAGAATAGAATAGAATAGAATAGAA